GCCAGGCCAGTCCATGATTCTTTTTACCTTTCTGCGTAGCGTTTGGGTATTTTGTTGGAGGGATACCTTGTATTCATGAGCCTTGATTGATTGAACATGTTGCATCTCGACGAGGAAACAGTCATTGGGAGTACTTTTTAAGGTGTAATATGCATGACATTACCAATAATTACCCCAAAAAAAGATTACCAATAATCTAGTTGGGTCTTTATACCCACTAGCCCCCTACCACAGCCTCCTTAGGCTTCCCCTCCCCCCTAGATTATGATAGAGTAGATTATGCAAATGCATCGTTGCTGACAAAAAAAAAAAAAAAATTACCCAAAAAAAGAACATTACATTTTGGAATGCCTTCCTTGTTTTCTCTGCACTTCCAATTGGATGGCTAAGATGCCGTTTCAATGTTTTAGAGTCGCTAAATGTGCGTGTTAGTAGATGGAAAAAAATTTGGCACGCTATTTTCATGATCATTTTTGTCAAATTAAACCAAAGAAAAACGCGAAAAAAAAGAGAGTTGCCGCTTCATTGCTGTCGTTAAATTCTTGTGTTTGGGTCAATTGGATGTCAATGTCTTATAATCACTTTTTTACTCTTTTTCTGAATTTGTGTGTTCTTCGTTTCATTTCTGTTTCTCTAGTTTTTCATATTTTCACCTCTCTTTTGTATGTTGTATTTGTATTGACGATAAAATGAAAGATCACGTTGAAATAAAACATTTAAAAGATATATACACGTAGTCATCTGACTATAATAAAACACTTATTAGCATTTAGACCTTATTTTCATTTGTTTTATGTTTTACAAAAGTTGATCAAGAAAAGCGATTACAAAGAATAATCAGTTAAAGTTACTTTTTTTTAGAAGAATCAGAAATATATATTATTTAGTTATTAAAAATTTAAAATGTAAGCACATGAACCTACTACGAGGAGGAAGAGGAGATGTACACGAAATGGTCTAATAAAATTCAATAACCGTTCGCATCATTTAATTGGTGCATGTATTTTTAGTTTTTTGTTGCAAAAATTTAGTGACGGTAAGATGTTTTGTCACAAAAAAAAAAATCACAAGTCCTGGTAAAAAGCTCCCAGACGGGGTTTTTTTTTTTTTTTTAAAAATGAAGTCCTCGCTAGCACATAGATTTGGTTTCAAAGTAATATTGGACAAAAAAAAGTTAACCATTTAATTTAATTGAATAGACATTAAGTTATATGGTATTTGATCCCATTAATCCAATATGACCATATTTGACTTCTTTAGTATATCAAGCAGCATGCCAATTGTAACATAATAATAAGAAAAAAAGAGCAGATGCTGAAAATGAAGTTATGAAATTACTTTGAAAAGTTTCAGAACTTTTATGATGCGACTGCCGAAGTGAAGGTCCGACCTGACCGGGTGCCTAGGGAGCGAGCTGAATCGTCCGACCTGCACGCGGGCGAGCTGCGGGGCTGAGTCCCCTGTAGCAACTCCGACGATCAAGTCAGAGGAAGATTTGTAAGTGAAAGAGTAGAGATTGTGCTATGAATAGCGTACCTGGTGCCTCTCTTTTGTGTAGTATTTATAGATGCTCAGGTAGTAGCTTCCTGGTAGGACAAGGAGTCCTTACTGGAGTGAGTGACTCCTAGGGCTCCATGACACAAGCCTAAGGATGCGGACCTCGCAGCCCATCAGGCCCATACGCCTGAGAGGCAGCGCCCGAATGGGCCGACCTGAAACCGTAGCCCAGCACCTCCAGTCCGAGCTCGTGGGTCGGACTGGGCTGTCCGTGGCCCGGGCCGATGTACGTCTGGGCCCCGATCTCGCTTGAATCCTCCTTGCTTCTGATTAGTTCGCCCTTCGCGGACGAACTGGCCAAGATGACCCCTCTGGATCAGCTTTTCAATTTCCTTCTTAAGGTGGCGACAGTCTTCAGTGTCGTGGCCCACATCCCTGTGGTACGCACAGTACAGTTTCTGATCTCTCCTGCTTCTATCCCCGGCCAAGGGCCGGGGAGGTCGGGATAGCCCTTCCTGCTCCATCACCGCGAGGACCCGAGCTCGGGGGGCGGTGAGGGAAGTCCAAGGCTTGTCTGCCCCTAAGGGTCGGCTTCTAGGCGGGTGGTCATAGGTACTTTTCCGCCCTTGGTCACGTCGCACGTCCCCCTGGTCGGTTGTCCTTCTGCGCTTGTCATCCCTCTGCCTCTCCAGTGCGCTCTTCAGGCGATTGGCCTCCTCAGCATTGGCCTTCTCATGAGCTCGATCCAACATCTCCCGAACTGACTTGGGTGGTCGCTCCACGAGCTCGGTGTATAACTTCTGCTTCCGTAGCCCGTTAATGAAGGCAGCCATGACCACCTTGTCATCTCGGTCGCGGACCTGGAGGGATTCGTTATTGAACCGCACCATGTATTCACGCAGTGATTCCTCGACCCTTTGTTGAATGGTCATAAGGTGAGCGGTGCTTTTGGAGAAGGCTCGTGAAGAAACGAACTGTGCTGAGAACAGTCGCGCGAGCTGAGTGAAAGAACTAATCGATCTGGGGGGAAGTCCCTGGAACCACTGCCGAGCCCTTCCTTCTAGGAACATCGGGAAGGTCTTGCACCTGACCGCATCTGCGGCCGTTTGTAAGCGCATCTGCGTCATGAACACGAACAGGTGGTCTTCCGGATCCGTAGTAGCGTCGTAAGATTTCATGGTTGGAATTTTGAACTTCGCGGGCAGTTGGTATTCCTCGATGTCAAGCGCAAAGGGGGAAGCAATGTACCTGTCCGCCTCCGGGTCAAGCATCAGGTCCAGCTCGTCCTGTACCTGTTGTCGCTCCCTCCGGGGGGAGAGCCCCCGGACGGGCTCCGGATGTTCAGTTCGGGAGTTCTTGTGAGATGGCTCCACGACCTCGACCTGCTCTCGCGTGAGTTCCCGACGCGCCCGCTTGGCCCCGTGATTGGGGCTCCCAGTTCGGGATTCTGACAGGTCGGCTTCTTGGACCTTAGGCTCCTTGTCGAATTGACCTCCCGACTGCCCTTTGAGGTAGTCCACGATCGCTTCGAAGGTGGGCAGGTTTGCCGCCACCGTTTGCACCAGCTGTTCAGGCGGAATCCGTGAAGGCCCCGCCCCTGCTCCTTCGGGTTTCGGATCCCGATGAGAATTTAGGGGGGCGCTTCGCTCCTTCCCCTTAGATGCACCCGCGTTCCTCTGAGACCTTGTTTTCGGCATGATTCGCGAAGAAAAGTAACGTGTTCCCACAGACGGCGCCAATTGATGCGACTGCCGAAGTGAAGGTCCGACCTGACCGGGTGCCTAGGGAGCGAGCTGAATCGTCCGACCTGCACGCGGGCGAGCTGCGGGGCTGAGTCCCCTGTAGCAACTCCGACGATCAAGTCAGAGGAAGATTTGTAAGTGAAATAGTAGAGATTGTGCTATGAATAGCGTACCTGGTGCCTCTCTTTTGTGTAGTATTTATAGATGCTCAGGTAGTAGCTTCCTGGTAGGACAAGGAGTCCTTACTGGAGTGAGTGACTCCTAGGGCTCCATGACACAAGCCTAAGGATGCGGACCTCGCAGCCCATCAGGCCCATACGCCTGAGAGGCAGCGCCCGAATGGGCCGACCTGAAACCGTAGCCCAGCACCTCCAGTCCGAGCTCGTGGGTCGGGCTGGGCTGTCCGTGGCCCGGGGCCGATGTACGTCTGGGCCCCACTACAAAGGTCAAATATGTTAAAATTAAAACGTAAAGAGCGAAATGAGAATTAGTCCAAATCATGATGATTACCTAAAATCGAAATTTACCTTCTGTACAGTAACCACCTACTTTTGTCTTTTCTTTATTGCGTGAGTTAAAGCAGTGGTTGACTTGTGACGTCGCAACTCGACGCAAACTGCGAAACCGGAAGCCCAGCCCGCGGAGAATCCCCTCCTATTCATATTTATTTAAAAAATATTTTTTTTTGCGGACGGGTTAATTTCATTCGAACCCTCAAAAGTTGGGAAAAAAAATCGAAGTCCTTAGATTAGAAAACTTATCACCCAGAAATTTATTTTAATTTCTACTCCAACTTTGCTTGCTATTAAAAGAACAAATATTGAAAAGAAATTGCCAAATAAGGCTTTTAAATTCAAAGTATGTAATGTTATCACGTTGAAAGAGTATGTTTCCTCTTTTTTTTTTTTTAAAGAAAAAGTGACTAAAAGTAAAAAAAAAAAAAAAGTGACTAAAAGTACGTGAAATTATTAAAAGAATAAATTTGGAACTCAATCTCTTAATTCTCTTTTCTTTACCTATGTAAGGGATAGAGTTTCTTCTAACTTGAAAAATAAAAAATGCGCAGAAATAAAATTTCTAGATTTTTTGTAGGGTCAAATTGAAATGCAACCTTCCACCTTGGCGCTTTTAGAAAAGAAGAAGATAACAAAGATTGAAAAACCAGGGATGCTGCAAAATTCAAGAAAAAGGTCTTTAAAAAAAAAAGAAATAAAGAAAGAAAAATTCAAGAAAGGGGCACAGACCCACGCCACGTTACAGAACTACTCTAACTAAGCCCTTGCCTATGGAATCGCACATCGTCTCCCCCGCAGCCCCAACCCCCACCACAGCCCAGTAGCCCACCCCCGCATATCCCCCCCTTCCCATAACAACAAAATCTTCCCCTAGGTTTATAATTTAAAGACTAATAACACCATTACCCCAGGCCACTTTCTTCGTACCCCCTCCAGCCTCGACACCCTCTGGTCTTTTAATCTTTTTATCGCTTTCTGCTGTACAATAGCTTCGATTTATTCCCTTCCAATTTCCAACAATTGGACCTGGTACATGTCCATTCATCACGTTCCTCTAATCTTAAAAAATCTGGTCACTCTCACCAATTTTACCATCCATATCTATCTATTTCCTTACCACTACTAGATACAATTTTTTTTTTTAATTTGTCAATCGCATAAATAAAAATCCCCCCATTACAAATCCTACTACTGCAGATATAATAAAGGGATCTTCTGTGTCAAGGTACATTACCATTACCGTTGCCACCTTTCTTTTTTCCTGCCAATCTTTTACTTGTATAGCTTCTTTAGGCCTGCATGTCACCCCTCTATAGAGGTCGAAGATATGCATACGCCACTCTTGTGTATGTAACAACAATTGTTGTACAGCAAATATTTTGTGGCCATGTCTTGTGAGTCGTGACCTACCCAAAATGGGTTAGGCTTTATAGAAATCCAAGATGTGGAAAACGACCCTTTTCTTTTGGTTCGATTTTCTTCTCTAATTTATCGACCACATTCGCTCCAAGAATTTCAGGGCATGGATTTTAAATTGGACCCACTATTTGTCTAGCCATGTTTTGCACATTGCTGATCCTTGTGAACAAAAAATTGAATCTTGATTCGACTCTCCTTCCAATGTTTCTCCAGGATGTTATGCTGACAATTGGGTCAATTGTAATCTAGGGTTTCAATTCTTGAGGTTTTGGATTTGGGGATTTTATGGTTGGTAACAAATTGTAGTAAGGGCTTCAATAGTACGCATTGTTGATTCAGTTGCTGCTGTTTGGGAAAAGCTGCAGTCTTTGTGTGTAATGGAGGGGCCTGCCCTAAGCTGAAATTAATTTACCATTTTCTCCTCTTATATGTGTTATATGTGAATGTATGTGTGGCTTCCCTGCGAATCTATGCTAAAGATTGCAGTTTTGTATGGAAGAGAAAGAAAGATCAAATTTTGAAGCTAAATATTTTACTAGCCTGTAATCATTTATTTACTGAGAATAAACATGTTATAAATCGTCTGTTAGTTTGATGTGGGATTAGCAGGGGTTTTATGACGTGTATGTTGGGACAAAAGCAAATTATCATTTACTGATCTTTGTGATGGAGTTTTTTCAGTATGATTCTGGAGTAAATTCAGCAAAATTACGCGTGGCACAATAGTTTTATTTGTTTATTTATTTATTTTCTTGGTACTGTTTCTTGGGGTGCAGCTGATGAGTATTTCTATTTCTAATTTGTTTTTACTGATAAGAGAGTACTTGATTGTAAGAAAATGTTCTAGATAATGATTGAAAATCTGAAACAAGACTTACAGGGAAGTAAAGTTTGCTCATCAGTTTTTTGTTTAACTCCTCATTAAGTGTTAGCTTTTAGTCTGAGCTAGATATTGATCAAGCCTCTAGATTTTTGGTTCTGTGATTTTATTTTTTTTAAGTAAAAATATTTAATTAGTGCCTGATATAAACTTTCTTTGGTATAATGTAATGCATGGTGACCTGGGATTGGGACATAGAACCAAATTTTTGCACAGTGCTATGGAAGCCTGAATGACCTGTGTGAACTTGTATGCTGATATGAGTTTATGCTTAAAGTAATTGATTGCATCCCTGCATAGGTGTTCTCTAGAACTATTAGGGCAGGGCTGAAGCAACTTAAAATATCTGCACCGAGCTTGAATATGTCAATCGAGTTGTCATTGCCATGAGGAGGGCTTGATCTAAGATGAAAAGCTGCAAAAAATAAATGAATAAGACTCAAATCGTATATAGCCTCAAATCTAGCAGACTCTTATGAATTTTGTTGATTGTTAGCACATAAGAAAAAAAGAATCAGTTAAGCCTCACTCATGGTGGACTTGATTAATGTTCCTTTAGTAGTAATTATTCTACTATCAGAATGATGGATGGCATCTAGTTGCTTGTTGCAAGGAATTTTTACTTGTTGACTTGTAAGTAGTGAGCTGAATTAATTTCTATGCATTTATTTGGCAGTATGCACGCCACAACTTGAAGATGATTTGATGAACTTATTGAAAGCCTTTAGGCTTGGTTTAATATTTTGTACATTTTTTCCGCATGGGCCAACCCCTCTTCAAAGAAATGGTTTGACATGTCATCATCAAAATTGGATGGTTAACTTACAAATCTAGTTGTAGAAGAAAAAAATTTGATCTTTCAGCACAGGTTTGAGGTTCTACAATCTTCTGATGGTACCACGTCTGATCACAGGAAGAATACTTTCATAATGTGAATTACGAAGTTTGGTAATTATGGCTATTGTATTTTTGAAACGACATTGATTCTTGGTGATGATTGGAATGAAACTTGCAAAGAAATTATGAGCTTATGGAAGATGAAATCTTAAATTTGATGGCATGAGCTTATGGAAAATATTTTTACTCAATGAGTCATTGCCAGAGGTGGGGTTTGCCATTTGGACATAGGTTAAGGTGCTGGCATGTGAATCTGGTTTTGGTTGAGGGTGATAAAGTTGTTTTAAGTGGTCATCTACTTACATGCAATTGATTCTAGTACGGGATCTCAAAATTGTAAGTCAGTTCTCTCTATGAACTGTTTATGATTTTAATTAGTTTCAGTATGCTGTCTGTTAAAAGGCTTGATAAGTTTTCATGGTCTTGGGCAATGATTTTCCTGTCTTATTAACATTAATTGATTAGGCATGAGATTTAATTGATAGTTTAAGAAAAAGAATGCTGATATTGTGGTATTGCATCTGGTTATGTTTTTTATACTACTGACAGCTACAATCTGACTGTTAGCACGTTTATAGTGGTGCCTTCTTTTGAAGTTGAACTAGTTTGTATTAACCTGAACTTAGTAGATCATTCTGCCAAGCTTACTTCACATCCCTGTATGAAGATAGAAGCCTTGAGTTTCAAAAGTGCATAAAGAAAGAAGACAAATATAAGAAATTAGTTGTTTGGGCTTCTTGACTACGTTATTATTTTGGGAAAGTGAGCTTCAAGGGAAGCTTACACAGATTTCCTTTTTTAGTTTATTTGATTCGAAATCATTGGGGAAAAAAAACTAGAACAGATTGATATCGACGGTTATTTGAAAACTGTGTCCAGCTACCGTTGTCTGGAGCAAAACACAGGAAATCTTTTCCTTCATACCAAATACTTGGGTTGCCATTCTTTAATTTATTTTTGTTCTTTTTTCCCAACTCCCAACCACCCCTCCCCCTGGTTTCTTGCTATCCCGAGCCTGCTGACTTCTTCGTGATGGTTGAAGAATAAAATCAAATATTTGTTGTCTTTTCTTATTCATGTCATGTAGCAACAAGTTGTTTTTGGCATGATTAGTTTGATTTAAGGATACATTCAACTTTGTGTACATCAATTCTTCATGCATGTTGGTGTGATGATGCCCAGCGTCGATGTGTTACCTTCTTTCCCATGTCGTCAAAGTTGTAATTGGTGTGCAGTTATTTTGTCCAATGTATGGAAACACTTTTTAAGTTTTTATTTAAAGTAATGCAATAGTTTTCCTGTGGAAGAATTGGCATTGATGACTTTACATGATCATTTATTACATGAATTGAGCACTTCTATTAATTGCTTAGCACGTACTAACTAAACCTATTTGACTTGTGAGGCTGAACTTCCATTTTTGATCCTGCTGATGCCAGCTATTGTGTTTGCTTAGTATGTGAAGTTAGTGGAAATACATGATGCTATAGGTGCCACATGGGCTCAAATATTATCGTCTAGAGTCATGGAAGTCCTTCCTTGTTCTGGTGTAAGCTACACTGCAGACTCTGATTGTCCTGACCAGGGTTCTGGAACCTCCTTTATGTTTGCTGGAGAATCAAACCGTGTAGAACGTCCTGAAGAAGTTCAGGCGACAGAGTTTAAAGTAGATGACCTAGAGATTAATTTGGAAGGGCCTCTGGAGGAGAGGGAGGATGGAAGTAAATGGAGTCTTGAGGGACTGCCTGCTTCAGAAGTTAATAATAATGGAGATGCATATTATGCATATGAGATGGATGGCCAGAAGTTCTCTTTTGATTCTCATGATTCCGAAGATGAGAAGTCTATTGCTCAGGACCACATGATGGAAACTTGTCTAGATACATATGAAAGGGGACAACCGAGTGGAGATCAAGAGCCAGGACTCTCGCCTTCGGAATCAAAATGGCACGAAAGAGATGAGTCTTTAGCTGTATGGGTGAAGGTAATTGCTTATTTTATTTAAGGAGATTTAAGTCTTGGAGCCATACAGTTTCTGTTGATATTTCTCTCAAAACATATACAATTAGTTTGGGCATTTGGATCCATCAAAACAGGAAATAAAAGTTAATGGAATGAGTTTAGTTCTTATATGCAGGGATGTGGATATAGAATTTTTTTTGGATTATCCTAGGGGATTTGTAGCTGTTGGTAATGGTGTCAAATAAAAGAAAATTATCCTAAAATCATAACTAGTGTCAATTTAGGGCATAGGTTGAAGTACACAATATTTTAAACTTCTCATTGATTTGGACCTGGTAGAAGTCAACTGTTAAGACCTTACTATTTGAATTTTTAAATGGAACTTGTTTTGGTGCTTTAGTTTACTTTTTAACCATTAATTCTTAGATCTTTTGATCTAAGCTGTTTTGTTGGTGATCATCTAAGGTTCTGTTAATATCTTTTTTGTTTGAATGAGAATCTTTCATTAAGTTGCTACATTTGCAACTTTGAAGGGAAAAAGGTGTGTTACCTCATGGTCATTTCAAGTTGCTTCCATGCTACTCTAGGACTTGCATCTGACAAAAGAGGACACGGTAAAATTGAATGGAGAAGCAATTTCTGTGCTTATTTCTTATCTACAATTTTTTTGGCTGTGCCTTATATTTAAGTTATTAGTCGTCATTAAGAACATCGCTATGCTCATGTCTGTATGAAATGTTATGGAGTTCTGTGAAGTTATATCTCGAGGGTATGGTTTAGCCCTTTGCTAATCGGGGCTAAAATTCCAGAAATTAAAAATGCCAAAATAGGAATAAGACTTGATATTATTAGAAATGTCCAAAAAATATCATATTCGTAAAGAAGAAACATAGACACACTCCTATGAATGTGGAAAATATACCGGATTGCTCGATTAGAATTGGAATTGTCAAGTCATCCATACCATAACTTTTTATTTTACTCAATTCAATTAAAACAAGAATTCATTTTTATTGAATTGACGAGTTTGCTTTGTTTACTGCGAAACATATTTCATTTCAAGGTAGAATCCTATTTCCATTATACTTATTTCGATTTTTTTACTTAGTATAGATTATTTTGTGTTTTTTCCACCTGTAGTGGAGAGGGAAGTGGCAGGCAGGAATTAGATGTGCAAGAGCGGATTGGCCCTTATCAACTTTGAAAGCCAAGCCAACTCATGATAGGAAAAAGTATCTTGTAATATTCTTTCCCCGGACAAGAAACTATTCTTGGGCAGATGAGCTACTTGTTCGTCCAATGAATGAATTTCCAGAGCCCATTGCATATAAGACACACAAGGTTGGAATGAAAATGGTAAAAGATCTGACTCTTGCACGTCGTTTTGTTATGCAAAAGCTTGCTGTCAGCATGTTGAGTATACTTGATCAGCTGCACAGTGAGGTTAGTTTGTCCATATGCACTTACAAGTTAGTTTTTTTCCCTCGTATTACTGTTGATCTTCCTCAGTTTCTGCTTGTAATTTGATCCTTTCAAGTTATATCAGGCTCTCATTGAGACTGCTCGCAATGTGGCGGCCTGGAAGGAATTTGCTCTGGAGGCTTCCCGCTGTAAGAATTATAGCGACCTCGGCAAGATGCTTTTGAAACTTCAAAATGTAAGAAACTTACCCCTCGTGGTTAGTTTGAAAGATGTGAAACTTGTTTTTATGTCTGTGTGTCTCTCTCTCTCTCTCACACACACACACATGTCCAATCACTTGTAGATGTTTTCACACACACAAAGGGAAGGTCTTGTGCTTTCAAGCACTGCAGATCTTGCAGATCAAGTTTTATTGTCGAAAATGTTCTTGTGTGATACATATTCTTGTAATTGTACCCTGACAATTCCATACATTCATCTGATGCTTGTCGGATATGCACTTTGTTAGTTTCCATGCATCTGTCTCGGAATTCCACGCATGTTGTTACATAAACTGGGAATTTTTGCCTTTGGTATGGATATGCTGCTCTGCTTTCCAGCAGTTGAACTATTAACTTGATTGTTGGACAGTGATCCAGCAGACCTGATTGAACTGATTATTGTGGATTAGTTACTGTCATGGGGATTCATACTATACATGTCAACAACATTTCCAGGGTTACATGCTTTGTTCTGATGCTTCCTGATTTTGTGAACCTAGACTCTCATTTTTGTTTAAGGTTCTCAAGAAGATGTAAATTGATTTTCCTTTTGGTTTGTTATGGCCCAAGAGGAAAAAGATTGACATGGTGGTGTTGTAAAAGTCACTTTGGCTGATCTACCCTTCCACTCTTGTGCTATGCTGTAGAGCCAGAATATGTGAGATGCTTAATGTGGAGGATGAACATTGAGCTCTGTTATTGTGCGGACTTTGTTTTTGTTGTTTTAGACTGATGCAAAGGCTACGCTTTTACTGTCTCAGATGATACTGCAGTGCTGCATCAACGCAGATTGGTTGCAACACTCTCTGCCATCTTGGATACAACGATGTCAGAATGCAAATAGCGCCGAATGTGTTGAAATATTGAAGGAGGTAGGATCCTACCTTGTGGTGCTAGTCTGTGCAGCAATGTCTTATTTTTCGAGAAGGCACATAGTTGTTTCCAAAAACACTTGTCATTTTCATTTTAAAGAAAAAAGAATTAGCTTCTTAATAATAAATGCTCTGATATCCTGTTATTCTGGTCAATTTCTTGCATTTTGAGTTTTAGTCTTGGCCTATAGTGCTTCAAAAATTTGTTTAGACAAAACTTGTGATGATGTTAGCATAAATCCCTCTCAAATGCCTTGCGTCTCCTCCAAAGATGAAATGGTGCAAAACCGTGAGTTATACTTAGCTGAATGGGAATTCTGTTCACTGTCTACCTGAATGCTCTAAACTCATGATACCTGGCTTTATTTGCATATATGTCATGGCCTTCTTCATTGTCTTTTTTTTTCCCCTCTAAATATTTATTTTCCAATTTGAAACTCAACAGGGATGTATCTATTTGTTTACTTGCAACAGTAATACTGATTGAAGTTTGAAACTTGCTTCGTAACAACATTCCATGGTTACCATCTTTCTGCTTCAGGAATTGGTTGAATCGATTGTTTGGGATGAAGTGCACTCGCTTTCAAATGCAACAGCACAGCTTGACTTGAGCACTGAGTGGAGGACCTGGAAACATGAGGTGATGAAATGGTTTTCAATGTCAAATCCAATTTCAAGTGGTGGTGATCTTGAGCAACCCAGCAATGATAGTCCATTGACAGTGGGGATTCAAATGAGCAGAAAGAGGCCTAAACTCGAAGTTCGTCGTGCTGAAATGCATGGTTCACAAGCACAGGTTATTCAGAGTTCACATCAGGACGTTGCAGTTGAAATTGACTCTGCTTTTTTCAATGGTGATCTCAATAACACTGCATCATTGGATTCTGAGCCATCTAAAGATTCAGTATCTGTGGAGGCAACTGCTCAACCTATCTCCCCAGGTACTGTTGCTGATAGATGGGCTGAGATTGTTGTTGAAACTGGAAATTCTGATGTCATGCAGTTGAAAAATGTGGAACTGACTCCTGAAAGTGGTGCTATTTGTGTAAGTTCTTCAGATGCCGTTGGTAAGAGTCGCCAATGCATAGCTTTCATTGAACATAAAGGAAGGCGATGCGTACGATGGGCGAATGAAGGTGATGTTTATTGTTGTGTGCATTTAACCTCCCGTTTTTCCGGCAGCTTATCAAAAATTGAATCAGCTACACCTGTAGATTCACCTATGTGTGAAGGTACTACAGTCCTTGGCACTAAATGTAAACATCGCTCTTTGCTTGGTTCTTCTTTTTGCAAGAAACATAGACCAAAAGATGACCAAGGTCTCACCTCAAGTTTGCCTGAGAATAGGCTCAAAAGAAAGCATGAAGAGAGTTCAATGAGATCAGAAACCACAGATTGCAAAGAAATTGTAATATCTGGAGGAAATGAAGCTCCTTTGCATGTAAAGCCTATCCAAGTCATCGGTGGAGAAGCCTTCGACAGAAGCTGTTCACTTGCTTTGCCTGAGCAACCACGGGAAGATTATAGCATCCAGGAGATGGCTCACTGCATAGGTTTATGGTCTCAGGATGGCTTCGAACCTTGCCAAGAAAGTCCAAAACGACATTCTTTGTACTGTGAAAAACATATTCCTAGCTGGTTAAAACGTGCTAGGAATGGCAAGAGTCGGATAATTTCAAAGGAAGTTTTCATGGAACTCCTGAAAGACTGCCGTTTAATGGAGCAAAAGTTGAATTTACACCAGGCTTGTGAACTCTTTTATAGGTTGTTTAAAAGTATACTGTCTCTGAGGAACCCTGTTCCTAAGGAAGTCCAATTTCAGTGGGTCTTATCTGAAGCTTCTAAAGATGTTAGAGTTGGGCAGTTCTTACTGATGTTAGTCTGCAGTGAAAAGGCAAGGTTGGAAAGCCTGTGGGGCTTCAGCGTGAAGGAAAATTTGCAGGCTTCCACCTCTCTTGATGAACCTGTCACAGTCCCAATGGTAGTAGAAAATGATCAAAACAATGAGAACAGTATAAAGTGCAAACTTTGTTCTGAAAATTTTCTTGATGATCAAACACTTGGTACGCACTGGATGGACCATCATAAGAAAGAAGCTCAGTGGCTGTTTAGAGGTTATGTTTGTGCAATCTGTCTGGATTCTTTTACCAATAAGAAAGTCTTGGAAACACATGTACAGGAGAGGCACCGGGTGCAATTTGTTGAACAATGTATGCTTTTCCAGTGTATTCCATGCAGTAGCCATTTTGGGAATCCCGAGGATTTGTGGTCACATGTACTATCAGTTCATCCTAATAATTTCAAGCAATCAAGTGTTGTTGAGCAGCCTAATCTTTCTGTGGTTGATGATACTCTGCAGAATCCTAGTCAAGAGAAGTCAGCTGCAGTAGATGATCGGAACCCGGAGAGTCAGTCTAGCATCCGGAAATACATTTGCAGGTTCTGTGGCTTGAAGTTTGACTTGCTACCTGATCTGGGCCGCCATCATCAAGCGGCTCATATGGGGCCAACTCCTGCTGATCCTCGCCTCCCAAAGAGAGGCCTTCGTCTCTATGCTCAAAAACTGAAATCAGGAAGACTCACTCGACCTGGGTTTAGAAAAGGTATAGGATCAGCGTCATATAGGATTAGGAACAGAAGTGCTCAAAACATGAAGAAACACATTCAGGCAACGAGTTTGGTCAGTGCAGCAAAGTTTAATGTCCAATCCGTTCAGCCTGATGCAGCTAGTCTTGGTAGACTGGCAGATTCTCAATGCTCAGCTGTTGCAAAGGTATTGTTTTCAGAGATTAAAAGAACAAAACCACGACCAAGTAACTTAGAAATCTTATCAATTGCTCGCTTGGCTTGCTGCAAGGTAAGCCTGCAAGCCTCATTAGCGGCAAAATATGGAACCTTGCCGGAGCGAATATACCTAAAAGCAGCAAAACTCTGCAGTGAGCAAAATATTTTAGTCAACTGGCACCAAGAAGGGTTTATTTGTCCCAGAGGATGTAGGCTGATTGAAAGTGCACATCAATTGTCTTCTTCAGTGCCTCTTTTGGATGATGTAGTTGTATCTAGATCATTGGTTCCTTTGAATCCTGTGTCCAGTGAGTGGACGATGGATGAGTGTCACTATGTTATTGACTCCAGACATTTTAACCAAGATTCTGCTGAGAGAATTATCTTATGTGATGATATAAGTTTTGGGAAGGAGTCTGTCCCAATAGCTTGTGTGGTGGATGAAAACCTTTTGGGTTCTCTTCATATCATGCCGGATGGCTCTGATGGCCAAATTACAGCACACTCTCTGCCATGGGAGAGCTTTACTTATGTTACAAAACCATTGCTTGATCAATCCATTGGTCTTGAAGTGGAGGTAATTTTAGAAATTTAATTTTCAATTTCTTTCTGATTTTGATGCTTTATGTATGTTGGCAAACATACTTATTCTCTTATCTCATTTTCAAATTTCTTGTGAGTGTGAACGTTTGAGATATTTAAGAAAAGTGTGGAAAAATGAAGTAGGTCTTTAAAATGGAAAGAGGACGATATTCAAGTATGTTTTAAGATGCCTGCTTGACTGTTGGTCTCCAAAGTATGTATTAAGTTCCAGTGTTACTTCTTTTCGGTGGAGGATTTTACTTCCTTGCACTGTGAGTTTTCCTGAGGGCCTTTATTCTGATTACAAAGTAGATAACTGGATCATTTTATCATGGATCCTTTTATACTAATTTCAGAAGTATATTTCTGGATGCATATAGATCTGGTGCTGATGATATGGTGTTTAATATTGATACTTCGCATCACTAAACATTTAGTTTCTGCTTAGAAGGAATTTCTAAGAAATTATGTGATGCTTCTGCTTTTGTTAGTGTAGTTGGTGTTTTTCTTGCAGCAAGTCTCACATCAGGACAAACATAAGTTTGTGTACTTACTGTCTCTTTTCATCTATATACTCTGTTGGCAGAGTTCACAGTTGGGGTGTGCTTGTGCTCATTCAGTTTGCTCTCCTGTAACCTGTGATCATGTCTACCTTTTTGATAATGACTATGAAGATGCAAAAGACATATATGGCAAACCAATGCATGGCCGCTTCCCATATGATGAGAGAGGTCGGATCATTTTGGAGGTACTTGATTTTTGGTTTCATGCCCCATAAGTACCTGCATTTATATAATTGGGTCTTGTATGCCTTCCCTGCTGTTTCTAGTTGGAAATTGCTGAGTTGAATTTAGCTATTATCCTTATGCTTTTAGCATTTTCCTCTTCTCCCCTGCTTTTGAGTGCAATAGAGTAGGATGAGTTGTTAAAATTTGTGTTAATTCAGTTTGGCAATGCTAATTTTTCATGATTTGTGGACTTTTGTTAACTTGACGTGTTTCATCAGGTAGAAGTAAATGGATTAAGACTAGATTGTCTGATCAGATAGACATATCAAGTTATACTCCTATCTTGATAATTCAGAAGTTATCAGGTTTAACTATGATATGTATCGGCACACATGCGCAAATATCAATTTTACAATTGGGAACCCAGGTTAAGTGAGCATGTTTCTCTCGAGTCTGATTCAAGTATTGCTATAGGTGTGCGTGGAGAAGCCAGTTTGCTAATTTCCATAGAAGGATATAAACTTCACAAGAGGTTCAGACATGGAGACTTGGGCATGTTGTATGAGTGTTTGCATGACTGGTTTTGGACTTATATGAGAAACCTATGTGTGTTTCTGAATTCGTTCTTTTTCAGCTTAAAAGTGAGGCATAAGAGGTTGCATGCAAAAAAGTTTGCAATTGTAACTTTTGAACATCAACAGTTTGGGAAAATGCTTACTTTTTAGTTCTAGAGTAGTTTCTGGTAGGGATAACCTAAATGTAAATGATCCATTTTTAGGTCAAATCACTGACAGTTGACCCTTGTTATAGGACTGAGGTGCTCTGGGATCAAATGAAGAGTCTGTGTGATTGCTAAGCGCTAGTAATTGCTGATCTTCCTTTTTTGATTAATTTGTCAGGAGGGTTACCTTGTTTATGAGTGCAATCAAAGGTGCTGCTGCAGCAAAACCTGTCAGAACCGGGTTTTGCAGAATGGCATTCGAGTGAAATTGGAAATATTCAAAACAGAAAAGAAGGTATAACGCATCATTGATTCTGATTGTTTGGAGTATCAGCTAAGTTGCTGTTTGGGTTTACAGGGTTGGGCAGTTAGGGCAAGGGAAGCAATCCTGCGAGGCACCTTTGTATGCGAGTATATTGGGGAGGTCATAAATGAGCAAGAAGCAAGTGAGAGGCGTAATAGGTTTGATTTCTGTATTGAATCTTTAACAGATAGCTTTATCTTCACTATCTTCCTTTTTTTTTCATTTGTTTATTTGCCTTTTGTAATTTTCTTATTATTTTGTTGTATTTGGAGAACCAGGTACGGAAATGATAGTTGCAGATTTTTATACGAAATTGATGCTCAAATAAACGACATAAGCAGATTGACTGAAGGGCAGGTCTCCTTTGTGATTGATACAACAAATTATGGAAATGTTTCACGGTATATTAATCACAGGTGAGGGAAGACATTTGATTTCTTAGCTGTGGAAAATTATGTTGTAGCTAAGGGGTTGGACCTGCAAGAGATTTGGATGATCTGATTCTATTTTTCCTTTTTCTTGACCACTTTTATATCTATTCCCATTGTGGAAATTACTACTTCCTGATCTCAAGGAATATTATATTGAATGTAGAGTTTTATAAGTCTGAAGGAGATTTGGCACTTCATGCCATTAGGATTTTTCCCCCGTTTTTGGCAAGGAATTGAAACATGGGCTTCGGTTTCCAGGGATTTAGTTTCCAAGCTTTTTGCTGGCCCCCTTTGATCCTTAGCAGTAATAGAGTAGAAGAGAGATGAATTGTAACCTCGAGCTCTCTAGGTTAAGCGCTTTTAAGGACCTGTGATCCATGTTAGCTGCAGGGTACCAAGTTATTCATCTTTAAATCTGGAAAAAGCAGGACTTAAGAAGTAGTACTTTGGAGCAATTTATTATTTAAGGCTAAGTTGTTGTTTCGCTGCTTTACCATCTTGTGGCTCACTTATCATCTCTTGTTGCTCTTAGCTGCTCACCAAATCTTGTAAATCACCAAGTGATTGTAGAAAGCATGGATTGTCAGCTTGCACACATTGGTCTCTACGCCAGTCGAGATGTAAGTACCATTTGATTTCTTCATAAGGTGGTTATCTTTGTTTTTCGGATGGCTGGGACAAGCAAAGTTATGTTTTGCATCATAGGCTGTGATTATGTTCCATTCACTTGTGACTTATTATGGAGATGTTACTTCTTTGAATGAGGGGAAAAAATATTAATGGAGGACTATAGTTTCCTGTGAAAATGGGGACGTTTTAATGACATGATTATTTTACTGTTGGTCCCGACCACTCCCTTTTCATGGACTGACCTCTTTTTTGCGCTAAATTTTGTCATTTTTGGGATTTTCACGAATGTTTTGTTTTGCTGATACAACGGCTTTTCTTAACAAGTTCTGCAACGATCCTTAATAATGCTATGCCTCTCGTTAGACTCCTGTAACCCTTTTTCCTAAACTTTATGAGCAGATTGCCATGGGTGAAGAATTGACATATGATTACCGCTATAAATTATTACCGGGAGAAGGGTCCCCTTGCCTGTGCGGAGCTGCGAATTGCAGGGGTCGTTTATACTAAATGCTTCACCAGCTAATTGTTCTTACGCTGCCCCTGGTGGGAAGCCTCTGACTTTTCAAATTGAGAAGTCAAGAGAGGAAAGCTAAAGGCAAATTTTCTGATTTGTATCTGCTGCTTCTGTAACTGTTGAAATGGGCATGAAGCATTGGGCTCGTCGTTTAAGTCCCACCTGTAGAATTTTTGTTTTTTTTTTTCCTGGTATAGCAAATTTTATCTACCCTGATAATTTAAAGCAGACAATTTCGAGCACTTATTCTGGCCCTTTTCCTCTTGCTCAGCCTGCACAGAAAGTTGGAAAGCTTTTTTGTCATAAAACATCAGACTGGCAATTTTCGAATCAACTGTATTTGATGACTGCTGCTACCATTCTACTCGTGTCCATTATCTATTTCAGGCTATATGCGAAAGTCGAGAAAGTCTACATTTGAAGGAACGTTGCTTGTAGCGAGTGAAGAATACAGCGAGTGATTCTTCAGTTCATACCATCACTTGGTGGTGTTGTAAAGCATAAAAAAGTTATCATGTTATTTACAGAGTGTAAAAATACCCTACAAAATGTTGGATTGGTTAATTACGGGAGGATCTAAGCTGATGGTTCCATCGATTAGAACTTCATCTCCTTCTGATGGCACAGAAGGGACAGACCATAACCAATCCCAACCAGTATGAGCATTCCTGTTAAGAATGATAATCAACAACCTCGTTAAAACATGGAACAGCAGAACCGAGGGCGCGCTTGTAAAATGAAATGAAACTCTTTAGTTGGCGATTACCGTGTTCAGTAAGTTTTGCAACTTTTGTTTCTTGGCCTTTTGGTAGATGTCTCGAAGACGGTAGTTGCAAGTTCAGAAACATGGAGGCGACGACTAGCCCGCTGCCAAGCTTTTCCCGGACAACTCTTTCCCGCATGTCCAAAGACCAGAGTCCAGCACCCGTTCCATTTCCCAGATCTTCGATGGACGGTTTGATGAATAAGAAAATCCCAAGCGAAAGTGAGAATTTAGCCACTATTCTCAATCTCATCTTGGGGAATTTGGACAGTCCGTTGACCAAATTCACGATGCAACCACATGCGTACAGGGGAAACCAGAAGTACCAATCTAAAACAAGCCACAAACAGGAAACCCTATTCAACGGAACCACACAAAACTGGAGAGGAGGGGAAAAAATCTGGCAATGAAAGAAAGTGTTATTACTTTCACTGACCAGGATCATTGAGTTGAGAGGAAGCAGAGACGGCGAATAGGGATGCCATGAGAAGAGAACAGAGTCTGAATAATAATGATTTATTGCTGATCTTTGCCTCCATTTGCTGCTGCCAATAGCTTCTTCAACCTTCGGGCAGTTCTTGCCCCCTTCTAACGTTCTGGAAATGCCTGCGTCAATATATATATATATATATAGATATATATGGATAAAGATGAGAGTCTCATAGCGCATGAGCAGAAGGGAGCTACAGCTAGGGGTGGGTACGGGTCGGGTATCCGTCTGATTTGACTGAACCAACCATAATATATCGGATCAGTCATTTTGCGATCCTAATTCGCTCCTAATGTCTTCGGGTATCTGCTATTCGGATACTCGAAAAAAAGGGGCAGATCATAGGGTATCCACCCTTAAAAAAAAGAAATTCATTTTCCAATAAAAAATTTGCTTTCCACTTAATATCAACATGTTTTTCAATAAAAAAAAATCTGTTTTCGAATTAATATTGGTAGAGATATTGTAATCAAAATTCATACATCACCATTCTCATACATTTCATCCAATAATCAAACCGATCTCATAAATTTAGTACATATTAGAATTATAATATTTAATAGACAAAACGAAATTTCATGATAATTTTGAGTACATCACCATTCTCACGCATTTCATCCTTCTACAACATAACAAACACAAGGATAATAAGTAGTTGGTAACTTTCCCAGCTTCCTTAAGGATGTTATGGTACAAGACTGCATCTAAAATGAGTCGACTGTAGAATCAAGTCCGGAAAAGAATTGAACAGAGCTAATAATTTTTGGAGAAAGTATAACCAAAATAATCTTAAAAAATTTTCTCCAACTTTCTTACATCTTTGGAATAGATCTTATGGCATTAAAGGTGATGAAAAAGAAAAATAAATTTATTGCACTAAAATAAAAGGAGACAATTTTAAGAGACATAATTGCAATAAAATAAATAAATAAATGAAAGACAAAAATGTATTAATTATCTAACTAATAGAAAATTGGAGCTCTAAACACAAATCTTTGATTGAATTGATGAAAAATTTGCAGAAAAGATCAATGGAGGTAGAATAAAAATGAAAAAGGATAAAAGAGATGAACAATTTTTATGATAGAATTTCACAAATTTTTCTTTGTTTTGTTCATTTGGTTCAGGCTTTACCAAGAATATTTGTTTTTTTTAGACAAGATAAGGAGAGGCGGATCATATGGGATTAGAATATGAGGTTGTGAGCCACTTCACTTACACTTAGGATTAAAAATTATAAAATTATAAAATGAGCCTTAATTTTTTTAATATTTATATAATATACCCTGCAGGTCGGATACCTGCGAATTTTTATTTTCATGATTTGTATCTGTATCCGTTTTTTTGCCGGTACCAGACTCGCATCTGTCCCACTTAGAAAAATCGGATCGAATATCCTATTTTACAGATCGAATCGAATCAAGTTCATCGAATTTTCGAATCGACGGGTCATTTTTTTGCGGGTGCCCGACTCGCATCTGTCCCGCTAAGAAAAATTGGATCCAATATCCTATTTTTCGGATCGAATTTCCGGATCCACGATTTTTTTTGCCCACCCCTAACTACAGCAGCAGTGGTTGAGCATTGACTTTGCAAGCACAGTTCATAAAAGGGTTCAGCCAGCGCGTCTGAAAATCATTAAATTAGTCTACAACTCCTGCTGTATATGCAAGCCGTCTGACTCTGAGCTAATGTGCACATTCCTATCCTTCCTTCCTTCGTGTTTCACAGTTGTCAAAGAATTGAGATGTGATATGTTTTGAATTGCTGTTCATGGATCCATTTTTTGCTAAGACCTCGTAATCCCCCACCACCAGGGCAGAACACCAAAAAAAAAAAAATATTACAGTGCCTAATGCCCAAATGCTAATGGGGAAATCCGAAGGTGACTCCCGGAACAAAAATTGGAAGGAAGACATGTGACTGTTGCCTCCCGTCCATCACATGAAGAAGAAGTACAAACTTGGCTTTTTACTTCTTCGCACAACCATATCTACACAAGAGTTTATACTACTGTTTTTTTATATATATTTTTTCTCTTGGAACTGAGGCTAAAGTGATGCATGATGACTAAAGAATCACAGTGTATTACGAATATTTGGTTTTGTAATGCGAGAAAAAAAAATGGAACTAAAAGTTTTGAAGAATTCTTCACTGTTACAAAGTTTTGATATATATATATATATAGCCATTTTTCAGGGCAGGGGCATGATTGGGTTTTTCTTGCGGGAACTAAGATAGATAAAACACGTGCAGGTGAGGGACAGCACAAGTAGAAAGAGATGGATGGCATCATTAGCAAAGCCACGATCAGGTTTTGGGAATTCTTTCTTTTTAGTTTTTACTTTTTATAGCAGCAGGTGGCTTAGTTGTCGAATGATTTTTAGTTGCCGAATGATGATGATGATGAAAGCGTGCCACTTTTGCCCCTTTCTACCTTTCATTCATCATTTCAGAAGCTCTGCATCATATCATTGGACTTCCACCGCTAGGCCCCCGGCCCATCTGAAACGTTGGCTGGTAACAATCGATGATGGAATTGTCTCAAACATCGGTCCGAATTTCGCCATTGTCACTGCCATATAGATTGGTGCCACTGTTATACAAAGAATGATGCCCCCCTACGGCCCGAATTTCCCCATTATCACTACGATTAATGGTCCCGCCACCCACTGTTCAATGTTAATAATGACTCTGCGGCCCAACTGGGCCCAGATTCTCTAGCCATCCCTCTTCCTCTCTCTCTCTCTCTTTCTTTTTTTTGTCCCCCCCTTTTTTTTTTCTATGGGGTGGGGTTGGTCTGTGTGTGTGTGTGTGCGTGGGGGGGGGGGGGTTGGTGGTGGTGCGCAATTAATTTCATTTTTTTTCCTTTGAACGGCAATTAATTTCACCTGGATCCTGAAAGCTTTTCTTTAATTTCCCGATGGCGTGCTCTTGATGGTAGACCGAGGCATTTTAGCAAATTTTGATATACATTCTAATAATATGTCGTTTCTCAGTGTGAAATTTGTCGTTTTACTGAAAAATTCATAAATAGGTGTTTTGAAATCTAAGGACTGTGACTGCCTATTTTGCCAACTCAAGTATAATGAGGTCATAAAGATTGGAACTGACTGGAGGAGAGTGGAGTTCAACTTTACTTATGCCAGAGGGAACAAAATACTACTACATTTCAACCTGGGATTTGATTAACAGGACAAAAACATCATCAATTTTGTAGTGTAGTATACATAATACATAATACACAATACATGCACATCACTATCATTTTCAAATTCTATCAACTTTTATCCACAGACCATCATATTCTTGAAGTGTCATTTTCTTGTTAATGCCCATAAACACTTGTTTTTTCTTTTTTCGCAATTTGGCGCTATATCATCTAGAGGGATATTCTTGCGAATTCAAGTTTACAAGAACTTATCCTTGAAAACGATGGTCTTCTTTTTTTTTTAGGCAAAAAGAGATTCGATCGCTCGTACACGACCACCTATAAAAGCGAAAGCAAAGTCTTCGCAATTCGCATAGAAAAACTCAAAAAGAAAGAATTACAACCTCATTGGCATGGCATGCCTGTCTTTTTTGATTGCTCTCGGACTCAGTTATCCAGACAAGTGTGCTTGTCTGTGAGTGTGTGAGAGAGGGAGAATGAAAAACTTCTAGTTGTGTTGTGTTGTGTTGTGTAATAGAAAAAGGTTTTAAAGAAGGGGAAAATTTCTCAGACCACTTCCAAAAACAATCATAGAAATCAGAAAAAGCAACCTCAGACACGCACAGTCACAGGGTAGCAAGTGAAGTTACGAAAACAGCCTAATGAGTTTCTGTCAAGTGTTTTTAACTTTTGGGGCTGTGTCATGTGCTGCATTTTAGTAACAAGACTTTTCTAAATCACTAATACAGCTCTCAAATGGGCACTCATCATTCAACTCTGTTAAATCTCAGTTAAGTGGTTCCCTTGATGCTTGACATCTAAGCTCCGTTCAATCATTTTCGCGGCCTATTGGGATTCTTATATTAAAGAGATCGAAGAGATGGGATCTCACTGGAGTCCCAGCCAGCCCAGTTGTGTTGGTGAGTCTTTTGTTGTTTTCTGGGGTTCAAAGATTTTTCTCGAGCTGAATTTGTAAAGACTCCATCTTTATCCTTCCTGAAAGCTTGTACCCCTGTGTACCACATATATTCTGTTTCTTTTTTAGAGTCTGAGGCTTCACATCTTGTTAATTGTAGGGGAAATAACTCTGGGACTTTCGCAAACTCGAACTTTGTCTTTCAGAGGGCCATTAGGCTTTCGAGCATTAGCCTTTTGGATTTCTCATTTGTTTTTGTACTATACTGCAATTTTTGTTTTTTTGGGTTGTGTTCTCCTTTAAATGTCACAATATGAATAATTCAGAATTGTGTTTGTTGTAGACTTGTAGTGCATAACTGTTTTGATTATCGGATTCTTGTATGCATCTCTTCTGGCAAATAGTACTAGGGTTCAAAAACTAGAGCTTGATTCTTGAAATTTGTAATATTCTTCAATTGGTGAAGAAAGATAGTAGGTAGAGATAATATCAAAGTCAAGGTCTACATCCCTATTCTCGTTGTAAATACCATAGCTTTATGTAGTTGTTCTTGAAGCCGTGCTGAGTATGGCTGAAATTAGAGTACCGAAGGTAGAGCAGGGTGGTCAGACCAAAATAAAAAATGTGCCAATTGCAGTGACACCAGAGGGTTTCTGGTGCTGCCCCTCTCCTGTTGTGTTTCAAAAGACCCCAAAGACACAAAGTCCTCTAAACAAACCGAAATCATCGCCTGCAACACCCTCACCGAATACTGCATTTCAGAAGAAAAGTTCTGTAAGTGAGAAAAAGCAAGCAGCCCTAGCACCAAAATCCAATCTTGTTTCAAGTGATCAAAAAGCTCCTAATTCTGATGCATCGCTACCTAGTCTGCCATCCATTACTGAGAGGACACTTAGGGTGAAGACGGAAAATGTGCAGAGGAAGGTGTCAATTGAGTTTGGGGAACCTGGAACGAGCGATCTGAAGGTGATTTTACTCGGGAAACAGGGCTTTGCTGTGAAGTTGAGTGTCCACAAGAAAATTTTGGTTGAGCATAGCAGATTTTTTGCAAACAAAATTTCAGAGCAGCAGCTTGTTTTTCCGTGTCTTGAAATTGACGACTGTGATGATGTTGAAATCTATGTTGAAACTGTTGGACTTATGTACTGCAAAGAATTGAAGCAGCGGCTGATCAAGCAAAGTGTTCCTCGTGTCCTGCGCATCCTCAAGGTATCTCATAAAATCATGCACGAATGTTTTGTTTGTTGCTTCGCATTGCATGCTTTTGGAAGTTGTCTGTCTGATCATTTCAGTTTGCAATTGCAGTAATCAGTTTGAACTATTTTATTTATATATGATTTTTGTTACAACTGTTCATGGCCGCTGGAACTGGATTAGATTCTATTCTTTATATTATTATTATTGTTTCTCATATTAAAATGATTGGAAGAGATAAAAGTCAGTGGTTATTGAGCTAAGAAGAGCCTGTCTACTTGATTTATGCATGATCATGAAATCATAGCTAAGGAGTATTAATCTTGTGACAGCCAGATTTTAGGCCTTCGCTGCTACTTCAGAGCAGTCTGGACAGAATAGGCCCTCTCTCTGACTTTGGAATAGTCTGTGATTATTCAAATATTCTTTTTTCTCCCCCTGTGTTTTGGCATTCCCATGGAAATTCCATGTTTTCAGATTGAGCAACCCAACCTACACCTACCCTGTGACGAAGAAAACTAGTTTTGACAGAACTGCAACAGATTGCATTGATGAATAAACTTTTGATTTTTGATTTTTTTTTTAATTTTAATTTTTTTTAAAGATAGAGATGGACAACTGTTGTGATTGCAAATTTGTGGCCAATTTAGCTGTAGTGGTATCCGGATTGATGCAGCAATCACATAAAATTGGGATTCAATGGCCTGTTTCATCTAAACTAGCATTCGGTGGTAAATCTTTGTCTGATGATTTGTGTTGTGTCTTTTGCCTTTTGCCTTTTGCTTTTCTTCATTAATATCATGTTGGCCAAAAGCCGATTTGAAGTTTTTGTTTGCAATTTCTACTACTATGCATTATGCTCTCATTGACTCTGAAATCCTAAATATCTATTAGTACTGTATCTAAGAACGAGAAGCAGCTCACCAGTACTCTTAGGTTGAGTTTCTTCTTATGATAATTGGCTATTTTGTGTAGCACTCTGTTATTGTTAAACAATCTTGTTTTGTATCTCGATAAGTATTTAAAAGATGTGAAATTTGTTTTGTACTTTGAATGTACGCATATTTATAGCTTGAAACTATAATGCAGATTGCAGAACAACTGGGCTTCACTTCATGCATACAGTCCTGCTTGGAATACTTGGAAGCAGTCCCCTGGGTAGGAGAGGAAGAAGAAGACAAAGTAGTTAATTCAGTGTTACGCCTGCAGGGGGAGGGAATTGGAGTGACCCCAGTATTGAAGCGTGTCTCTTCTGATGTTTCAAAGCCACCTAAGGATACACTGTCCCAAATTCTGGAGTTGATGCTGAAGAGCAATGAGGAGAGAGGCCGACGTGAAATGAAATCCATTGTGCTGAAGCTCCTTCGGGAAAGTAACAGTCTTCCTAGCTGCTCAAGTTCGGTTGATGCATGCAACGCAATAATTTATGGATCATGCAGAAGCTGCATGGATGTGCTGTTGTCGGCATTCAGACAAGCTACTGAATCTGAGTTGACCAGCAAGCTACATGATTGCAAAGAACCATTCCTAAAGCAGATATCTCTAGAAGCTGATAATCTTTCATGGTTGCTTGACATTTTAGCTGACAGGCAGGCAGCTGATGAGTTTGCAGTAATGTGGGCTAGTCAGCAAGAACTGGCTTCCCTTCATGGAAAACTTCCTATCATGTCTCGATACCATGTTAGCTGTATTACAGCAAGGCTTTTTGTTGGAATAGGAAGGGGGGAGCTTCTGCCCTCAAAGGACATCCGTCTCTTGTTATTAGAAACCTGGTTGCAACCATTGATTAATGACTATAATTGGTTACAACATGGGTGCAGGTCATTTGATCGGAAAGTTGTGGAGGAAGGAATCGGCAGGACCATTCTCACATTGCCTCTGGAGGAGCAGCAGAGCATTTTGCTAGGTTGGTTGGGCACTTTTCTAAAGGCTGGTGATAGTTGCCCAAATCTTCAGAAAGCTTTTGAGGTCTGGTGGCGCAGGACTTTTGTTAGACCATATACAGATTCAGTTAACCCCCCTCAGTCAGATACCACCGTGGGGTTGAAGATAGTAGAGAAATAAATTAAAAAAAAAGAAGAGAGAGATTACTGAGTTTACTGATGCAGAGTTTACTGAGGTATACTGGGGTTTCAGTCTCTTTTTGAGTTTTAAGAGCATGGAAAGCAATATATGGCCGGAAGTCCATATGCAGAAGCCATCCTCATTTCAGGATAAAACAGTTCCTTCTCTGAAGCTTAAACAATTCCATGAATCTCAAAATTCGAGCTGATGCATTACGGGCTCAGAGAGATTCATCAGGTTAAGGAGTTCAGATTGCTTGGTGTTTGTAAAAGTTTGTAAAATACAGTGTTGACTGTAATGCATGTCTGAGTCTGAGTTACATTTGATACGCTTGGTTCTGAAGTGAAGTGATGTCAACTGTAATGCATTTCTCACAGAAATGAGAGAAGCTGATTTAACTACAATCCAATCACTGTAATCTGTCTGTTTGCCTGCGTTTTAGCTTTTAACCAAGTCACGGAATTTGTCTCTATTATGAACTTCTACATATAAAATGCCTGGTATATTATATTGCAGGTTACTGTATATTATATTGCAGGTTACTTGATAATGTTCAATATTACTGGGGAAACCAAAGGACATTTTTGCTATAAATTGGAGTAATCATCATGGAGTGGAAAGTAACAGGCCCGGTGCTCTCGGCTTTCTTGCTTCGGAAAAAAAAAAACTTTAGGGTCGTCGACGGCGGATTATTGAACGGCTGGAAACCAAATGTTTCCCTAACTAACATTGTTGTCATGCTCATCGACCTTGCAATAATCTCTCGTTTAATTGAAATATCTTCTGAGGATGTTGATATTGGGCCTTGACGAATTGAGTATCCATAACCAACCAGACGTAGCAGCTAGCTAAGAAACAGCTGGGTTCACTCGCTCACAACTCTCAACATCCTCTGCATTAATTTATAATCAACCTCCTAAATCTTTGTAGATGATTTTTATCCCTTTTTTGTTTTTGTTTTTTTTTTTGAAGTCGTGGAAGGTGGTGGTTATAAAACAATAAATAATGTCTCCCAGTGGTCCTTGTTCTGGAAAGCAGCAGCCATCTTTCCAATTACAATTCGTTTTCTTGGACTCGAACAAACTTGATCCTTTGAGGGCCCTCTTATTTATTGAAGTTGGATCAAAGCAAATACGGGCTTTAGCTAACTACATCTGTATACGGTAGTATTAGAAAGAATGATGGCCATCATCATCAAGTTGAAAATTTTTACTGTAACACTCAACTCTATAATATGATTTATTATGTTCAGAATTTGCAACATTTCGCAAAAGTAGGGGGGGCAAAAAGAACAAAAAAAAAAAAAAAAGGTTTGAAGGAGTAACTTTTGCAAAAGTTAGTATCAATGAGCATCTCCTTTTTATTATTCCTGATCAATAATTAGTAGTAGTATAAAACTTTTTTAGGATTAATATTTCCTACATTGACAGTAGTGTATCATCATGGATGAATGACAACTGTGCAAAATTTGAATTTAAAATTCAATTTTTACACATGTATCATCATGGATCCAACGGTAATAGCGTATACACTGTCAATCAGTATATATACACTTGTCATCCTCTGGTCCCGTCTTCGGTTGGGTCCCATTAGTGGCAGCCATGGGGAGTCTCTTAGGAAGTGAGGAGGTTGGTGGACAAGCTTTAAGGGTACGGGCCCGGTCACTTAGTTGTCTACTTGTTCCGAAAAAGGCCAGAATAGTGCGAGAGGGGACCAACAAAACTCGCAAAAACTAGCATTTGTCATGCCCACTAAACATTCTTATCTAATCTACAGAATGTGGCCTCCGGCCAAGCAAGCAGGACAAATTTTGCATTCTACAGAATTTGGCCGTCCCTAGTAGTATTAATTTATCACTACTGCTGCTCTTGTATTTAGTTTAATAATCTGCTCATCAATTTGGCTACCCCACCAAAATTCGCCAATTACTATTCACATTAATTAATTCAAGATTGGCTACCCCATCAAGTGTGCGCGCGCGCATGCATGTTTTTGTGTGTGTATTTAGTTGCTACTTTCTACGCTTAGTTTTGACCTTGGTCTTGTTTTGAGCAAAATTGTGGAATTTGTTCCGAGTCTTTCAATATCACAAAGAAAGAAATACAATTTCTCCTCTTTTTTTTCGAATCAAAATAAATTTTTGTGACCACAAAAGTATTACTTTGGGAATGAAAGAAGAGACTTGCCTTTCACTATCTGACGATACTTGATCATATACACTTTTTTTTTTTTTTTTTTTATCAATAATATGATTCAAGAATTGAAATCCCAGAAATTAGAAGTCTCCACTTACTTAAATCTCATCTTTTTCTTGCTAAAAAACATTAAAAAAAAAAAAAAGAGGAAGGCCTGATGGCAGCTTCGCAACAACTTGTTAAATCAACAACTATAGCAGATCATGCAGATATATCTTGGCCACGGCATGTCTCAAGCAAGCAGCAAAAGTTATAGAATAGGTGAAAGGTAATTGTTGCTTTGCATATAGTTGTTCTGAATCTTAAGGAAATGTTGGGGAATCGCTTACATTGGTAACACATATAACTAACTCACCAGCATCATCACCCAAAACTAATAAGATGGAAAGCCGATCGCCCAAAAATATATCTCTCGTGGTTGTTGTCCTTCATTTTCACCACCAAACAACCTCAATATATAGCTTCTAAAATCAATTTTAGTCCATCGCTGTTTATCATCTTTTTTGGCGAAATCATTGATGCTTCAACCAGTCCGTCCATTCGACTTCTGGTTTTTACAATCACAGTACTAAGGAGAGAATGAGTTTATTGCTTAATGGGGAAGATTGATGCGAACAAAGGACTCATCAGTATCATAATGAAGAAAAAACAGTACCATCCCACCACCACCACCATCATAAATTCTTGCCATGTCATATGATATGAACCCCTGATTCCAAAAGTACCTTAAAAATAAAATATTAGACAATGCAGGTCGTCTGATGTACCAAGTTCAGTGATATAAGGGAAATAATTAGCCACGTACCTTACCCTTAATTACGTAACAAACTATAACGTGCGTAGTTACAGATCTTTGTCACCATGAATTAATGAGATTCCTTGTCAAGTTCAAATTTTAGTTTCTGGAGAATACGAAGATTCCTTGCTCTGCGCCTCCGTAGATGTTCTTCGGAGGAGCCTGCGTTGATGCAGAAAGAAAATGATTGATGCAGCGATATCAATTCACTTTCCTTCTTTCTTTGTATTTCTCAATTTTACTGATCTTTTTGTTGTCGTTTTTACTCATAGCCTTTGCAGTAGATACTTTTTTTTCTCCATTGCCCAGCGGAACTTCACAAGCATATACATCCACGCAAGGATGGGAAAAGTTTTTTTTTTTTTTTTTTTGAAAATATTATAAAACGTTTATTCAGTTTCGTAAACCACTTTAAACACATTGATTTTGCAAGGCCTGCATGCACATGATATTGAAAATGATGTACAGTGTATTCTTTGGAACATACTTTTTTTAAAAAAAAAAAATTTCAAAATTTGGTCCATCTTAAGCATTAACTTTTTTGGGATTTTAATTAGCAACCGTTTCGCCCTTTGTTCTACAAGGACGGCTAGGAAAAATAAAAACTGCTACAAGTCCAAAAAGAATTATTAATTGACCTCATTTCCCACTTAACATAATGAATTAAAAGAAACTGTTTTAGCCCCTAAAACAAGAACCAAATTAATTTAAAAAAAAAAAAAAAAAACTTTGAGGACTGGCATTCTGTAAATATGTTGTTGCCACATGAATTAACATGTTTATAGGCCAACATCCAATTAAAAATGGCCTGTCACAAAGAAACAGATTAGAGGAAATTGATGGCTCCAACAAATGCAAAATTATACACAACAGCACTTCAGTCCACTTAATTAGGACCACCAAGACAATTATTCAGCTTTGCCTTGGGTTTGTTTAGTCCCACAGATATTTTGCCCTCTTTCCCCAAGCATTTTCATGTTATTGTCCTAATTAATAACTGCAAAAAAAAAAAGAAAAAAGAATACAGCCCCGCAAGACAATTGAAAAAAGCTGCTGTCACTGGAATGGTCATATATAAGATACCAGTTAATCTTAGCGATGTAGCTGATATATTTCCTCAGCAAATAGAACAACTCATGGAGTGTAAGTAAATTAAGCCCGTCACAGTTAATCATCTGAAAAAAACATTAGTTATGACTGCTCTCTTTCATTCTTTCTGAAGCTACCTCATGATAATTGTCCTCTCTTTTTTTTTTTTTTCTCTTTTTCTTAATCATGGATTAATAGAATAAGGAAAGGTGAACAAACTAACTAGTTCCAATTATAAACTACTCCAAAATTTGTCACTAGCTAGGAACAGAGATATTGACATCTTTCAAAAGTGGCTTTCACCACGTGACGGAGAATATATATAGAACAAGAACTAACTTGACTGAGAGTTTAATTGGTGCAAAATTCTTCTTAATTAGTTTGTATATATGCTCCTTGAATTCATGACTCGATCCAGTTTTTAGTTACTTTCGCATGGAGTATCACTACGCAACATTTAATACAGTACAAAACGTCAAATGCTCAAAATAATGGCTATACAATTACAATAATTTTGATACTGCATTGTAACATAAGTGCTATATGTGTTTCTCGTCACGTATTTGACTAGATAATAGTAGAAGTACAAATAAGAACAAAAAAACAGGTACTAAAGACCATTATCAAATCCAAATTATCTTCTGATCTTCTCTTCATCTCCAAGTACTTGTGTGATTCCAATAATTAGTTTAACTAACTGCCCCCGAAGTCTCGAACAGAAAAGGGAGTACTACTATTCTCCGGTAGGTTTCCGGCATGACGTAGCCCTAGAGTAAGTGAAACATCTCCAGCACTAGTTCCAAACCTTATGAACGTGGACCCCATCTCAGCGTTGGCAGATGTCACAATGCCGCTGCGGCGGCAGGCGGCCTCGGAGTCGTAGGCGGTCGGAAAAGATTGTGATGACATTGTTGGTGGCCTGACGGTGGCGGTTTGGGTAGCAAGAGAAGTGGAAATAGACATTTTTGAGGTGGAAGTGGTGGAGGAACAATTGTTTTTTGCTTGGTTTTCCGAGAAGCATTGTCTATTGATTGCGAAGAATGAAGGGTCGTTTTCAGAATCATTAATTTCGGATCTTTTGCCTGTTGCTGTAATTGCTGCTGCTGCTGCTGCTGCTGCTGCAGTTGTTTCTGTTGCTGTTGCTGTCGTAGCAGTTTTGGTGGCAGCTGTAGAAGATGGGGTGGTAGAAGTAGTGGCATTGGGCGTTGGTGTTTGTGCAATGTTGCTGCCATTGCTTTGGCTAGGTTCTCTCTCTTCTGCCTCTTCTTTGGCTTCTTGTTGGTACATCTCTTCCACCATGGGTTTCCACAACCGGACCCTGGCATTAATGAACCAGTTTGAGACCTGGAACACGCAATTACAAAATCAAAACATTAAACCCAAATACACATA